TTAAGGTAATAAAAAGATTTACTGGCTTCGTTTCAAAAGATAATGATGAGAAAATTTTGAACATCACAAATTGTGTTAGTTTAAACGTAGAAAGAATTTGTAAGTTTAGTAAGTGCCTTGAAAACTGTCATCCCTTTGGAACGTTACAAATCCAAGTTAAATTTACAAACCGCTGATCTAGTGCCAGATGTTATGTCGTTTCAAGGTAGCAGGGAGGACTCCCAGCTGCTTGGAGAGGTTCCTTTTTTTAACTTGAGAAGCTTCACCGTCTTCCATTAAGATCTACGCTTTCAAAATTATTTTTAAATTAAACATCTTTAAAACAGAATAAAGATATCTTCAGTTTCACATAACCACACTTAAAAAAATAAATATTCTTTTTTAAAAAAAATATTATAATTTTATTTATATATATAAATGGAATAATTTTTTCGTATTTTGAAAGGTGAGAATAAGATAAATAGATATAGCTTGAATGGAAAATTAGTTATTTCTAAGTAGTCAAGGATGATTAGGAATGGTAGGGTTGAAGGTAAGGTGTTCATCAGGATGTGGCTGCACTGAGATACGATCATTCCAGTATTTGCCTACCTGGAGCAGCCGGGAACCAGAGCGTGTGGAGGCGGTGGTGTTGGCGGGAGGCAAAAATAACTCGGCGCATCCTAGCCAAACATAGCGCTGTTACACCGCCTCCTGCCCTACTCGATTGTGTTGCTCCCTCTCCTCCTGTAAGAATTGGGGTGAACATTCTCAAGAAAAAACATCAAAACCAGTAATCAATGAAGCTAAAGCATTCTCTTATAACAGATCATAATGGTATACGTCATATTGGTATAGGTCATATTGTAACAGGTATATTGATATTACCCAGATGTTATTATTAAGAATTCGACCATCTTCACTGCAAGAGAGGAAAAGTACCATTGGTGTGAATAACGATTTGGTTCAGAAGTTTCAACAACCGAGCTAAATTAATAAGGAATTTATATAAAGATTGTGTTGCTCCCTCTCCTTCTGTGAGAACCGGAGTGAAAATTCTAAAAAAAAAAAAAACATCAAAACCAATAATCAAAGAAGCTAAGCATTCTCTTAAAACAGATCAAATTGGTATAGGTCATATTGTAACAGGTATATTAATATTACCCAAGATTTCATTTTAAAAAACCCGAGCATCTTCACCGCAAGAGAGATAAAATGCAATTGATGTGAAGAACGATTTGTTTCAGCAGTTTGAACAACCAAGCCAAATTAATAAGGAATTTATATAAAGATTATGTTGATCTCTACCCTTCTGTAATAACCGGGGTGAATATTTTCAAGAAAAGCATCAAACCAGTAACCAAAGAAGCTAGGTATTCTCTTAGATCAGGTCATATTGACATTACTTAGATGTTATTATTAAAAAATCGACTATCTTCACCGCAAGAGAGGAAAAAATACCATTGGTATGAAGAACGATTTGGTTCAGCAGTTTGAACAACCAACTCAAATTAATAAGGAATATATATAAACGTGAATCACAATTTTCTTATATAAAATTAAAGATACTTCGGCCAGTATAAATCTTTTTATTATCTCGACGTTTCAACAAAATTATATTATCTTCGTTGTCGTTTGTCCAAATTAAAGCATTTGACAAGGCGTTAAAAATTATTCTAAGATTTCAAGGGCATTCTCACGCGATAATAAAAAGATTTATACTGGACTAAGTATCTTTAATTGTAATAACTATGAATCCCAGCCAGGGGCAACCTCTATCTTCATAATAATCATAATGTTGCTACCTTATTAAGTCCTGATAAAAGATAGATATTAAAAATAATGTCATTCAACTACAATATCAGTGATGCTGTTGCTCAAACAACATTTACCAACCTAAGTGGAAATGTTATATTGCCCAGAAGAACTTATGTTGCAAGAAGATGGATAAGAGAAGAGCGTTACCTAAAATGAATGTCGAATTTTGCATGATAAAGCATGAAAGCGCTGGAAGACTGACTGTCCTTTAACTTGTGATCTATGTCATAGCAAAATTCAACACGAAATCATGCATATAATTTTTGGTTGCTTTTGATTGTAGAAACAAAAATGGAAATTCGTGGGTGATTTATCCCCTTGTCTCAATCTGATAGTCAACAAATTTATACCTGAATGAATACAATGATGTTTGATCAAGGTCTTCTTTTTGGTTTATATAAATTCTACAAGGCCGCAGTCACCGTTCGGAGGAGATTAATAGAATCGCCGAATGTCGTGGTCCATTTGGATGAGGAAAGTGAAGACTAGAACGCGGCTGATTCCACACTAGCCTGTTCAGTGATACGCTAACCATGACGTATGCACAAAGGAACGTGTGGCCACTAGACATGCGTCGGATCAGGAGGCTATTGTTGGGTGCTGCGCTGCCTGGAGTATAGGAGCTCCATCTATGATTCCTTTCTTCCTGTGGTGAATCTGTATAAGACCGATGGTCTTAATAAAGCTGTTTTGTGATATAGCAGGATGTGTACCAATTAGAATTTTTGCCCATCAAAACGAAGTCAGATTATTGCAAGGTATAGCAGAAGAAATCTAATGATCAATTTTGATATGGCTTTGTCAAGCAGAAAGGTTGCTTATTGTGTTGTTCAACTGGATGATGACCGATTTTGAGGTGCATTGGTCAAGATGGCGAAGAATCGTGTTGTTCAACAAAATAAAAAAAAAACAATTCTGATATATGAAAAAATAGTACAAATGTGATATTATACTGGGATAAGGTGCATAATTATAAAAAAAGGCATCTCCTTATCGTGCAACTGAAAGTTGCTGATGGCTTGCGCCATCTATCGGAATAAATATCAACTATTCTCGTTGATTTTTAATTATTCCAGAATTGCACCACGCTGATGAGGGCCAACAGCCCGAAACGCGTCCGTGGTTAGCTGTTCTTGATTAATCAAAATTGGGTATTTGGCCAATTCTGGAATAATTAAAAATCAACGAGAATAGTTTATATTTATTCCGATAGATGGCACAAGCCATCAGCAACTTTCAGTTGCACGATAAGAAGATGCCTTTTTTCATAATTCTGATATGATTTTATCAAGCAGTAAGATTCCAGTGATAGTGTTGATTGACATAATAAAGGCTGATTTCTATAGGATTTGGTCAGGCAGGAAGAATGCAAATGAGGTTATTATTCAACAAAATGAAAGGTGATTTTGAGTGAAAGAGTTAAACAAAGAGAAGACCAATGATGATGTTGTTCAATCAGATAGAAGACCAATGATGATGTTGTTCAAGCAGATAGAAGACCAATGGTGATGTTGCTTAAGCAGAGAGAAGGTAAATTATGATTTCCAAGCAGATAGAAGGCCAATGATGATGTTGTTTAAGCAGAAAGAGGGTCAATAATGATTATGTCCAAGCAGATAGAAGGCCAATGATGATGTTGTTCAAGCAGATAGAAGGCCAATGATGATGTTGTTTAAGCATATAGAAGGCCAATGATGATGTTGTTTAAGCAGAAAGAGGGTCAATAATAATGATGTCCAAGCAGATAGAAGGCCAATGATGATGTTGTTCAAGCAGATAGAAGGCCAATAATGATGTTGTTTAAGCATATGGAATGCCAATGATGATGTTGTTTAAGCAGATAGAAGGCCAATGATGATGTTGTTCAAGAAGTTAGAAGGCCAATGATGATGTTGTTTGAGCAGATAGAAGGCCAATGATGATGTTGTTCAAGCAGATAGAAGGCCAATGATGATGTTGTTTAAGCAGATAGAAGGTCAATGATGATGTTGTTTAAGCAGAAAGTGGGTCAATAATGATTATGTCCAAGCAGATAGAAGGCCAATGACGATGTTGTTCGAGCAGATAGAAGGCCAATGATGATGTTGTTCAAACAGATAGAAGGTCATTGATGATGTTGTTTAAGTAGATAGAAGGCCAATGATGATGTTGTTCAAGCAGATAGAAGGCCAATGATGATGTTGTTTAAGCAGATAGAAGGCCAATGATGTGGTTGTTCAAGCAGATAGAAGGCCAATGATGATGTTGTTCAAGCAGATAGAAGGCCAATGATGATGTTGTTTAAGCAGATAGAAGGCCAATGATGATGTTGTTCAAGCAGATAGAAGGCCAATGATGATGTTGATCAAGCAAATAGAAGTCCAATGATGATGTTATTTGCGCAGATAGAAGGCTAATGATGATATTGTTCAAGCAGATAGAAGGCCAATGATGATGTTGTTCAAGCAGATAGAAGGCCAATGATGATGTTATTTAAGCAGATAGAAGGCCAATGATGATGTTGTTCAATCAGATAGAAGGCCAATGACGATGTTGTTTAAGCAGATAGAAGGTCAATGACGATGTTGTCCAAACAGATAGAAGACCGATGACGATGTTGTTCAAGCAGATAGAAGGACAATGATGATGTTGTTTAAGCATATAGAAGGCCAATGATGATGTTGTTTAAGCATATAGAAGGCCAATGATGATGTTGTTTAAGCAGATAGAAGGCCAATGATGATGTTTTTTAAGCAGATAGAAGGCCAATGATGTTGTTCAAGCAGATAGTAGGCCAATTATGTTGTTGTTTAAGCTGATAGAAGGCCAATGATGATGTTATTTAAGCAGGTAGAAGGCCAATGATAATGTTGTTCAATCAGATAGAAGGTCAATGACGGTGTTGTTCAAGCAGATAAAAGGCCAATCACGATGTTGTTCAAGCAGATAGAAGGCCAATGATGATGTTGTTCAAACAGATAGAAGGCTAATGATGATATTGTTCAAGCAGATAGAAGGCCAATGATGATGTTGTTCAAGCAGATAGAAGGCCAATGATGATGTTATTTAAGCAGATAGAAGGCCAATGATGATGTTGTTCAATCAGATAGAAGGCCAATGACGATGTTGTTTAAGCAGATAGAAGGTCAATGACGATGTTGTCCAAGCAGATAGAAGACCAATGACGATGTTGTTCAAGCAGATAGAAGGCCAATGACGATGTTGTTCAAGCAGATAGAAAGTCAATGAGGATGTTGTTCAAGCAGATAGAAGGCCAATGATGATGTTGTTCAAGCAGATAGAAGGCCAATGATGATGTTGTTCAAACAGATAGAAGGCTAATGATGATATTGTTCAAGCAGATAGAAGGCCAATGATGATGTTGTTCAAGCAGATAGAAGGCCAATGATGATGTTATTTAAGCAGATAGTAGGCCAATTATGTTGTTGTTTAAGCTGATAGAAGGCCAATGATGATGTTATTTAAGCAGGTAGAAGGCCAATGATAATGTTGTTCAATCAGATAGAAGGTCAATGACGGTGTTGTTCAAGCAGATAAAAGGCCAATGACGATGTTGTTCAAGCAGATAGAAGGCCAATGATGATGTTGTTCAAACAGATAGAAGGCTAATGATGATATTGTTCAAGCAGATAGAAGGCCAATGATGATGTTGTTCAAGCAGATAGAAGGCCAATGATGATGTTATTTAAGCAGATAGAAGGCCAATGATGATGTTGTTCAAGCAGATAAAAGGCCAATGATGATGTTGTTAAAGCAGATAGAGTGCCAATGATTATGTTGTTTAAGCTTATAGAAGGCCATTGATGATGTTGTTTAAGCAGATAGAAGGCCAATGATGATGTTGTTCAAGCAGATAGAAGGCCAATGATGATGTTGTTCAAGCAGATAGAAGGCCAATGATGATGTTGTTCAAGCAGATAGAAGGCCAATGATGATGTTGTTCAAGCAGATAGAAGGCCAATGATGATGTTGTTCAAGCAGATAGAAGGCCAATGATGATGTTGTTCAAGCAGATAGAAGGCCAATGATGAAGTTGTTTAAGCAGATAGAAGACCAATGATGATGTTGTTCAAGCAGATAGAAGGCAAATGATGGTGTTGTTCAAGCAGATAGAAGGCCAATGATGATATTTTTCAAGCAGATAGAAGACCAATGATGATATTGTTCAAGCAGATAGAAGGCCAATTATGATGTTGTTTAAGCAGATAGAAGACCAATGATGATGTTGTTCAAGCAGATAGAAAGTCAATGATGATTTTGTTCAAGCAGATAGAAAGTCAATGATGATGTTGTTCAAGCAGATAGAAGACCAATGATAATGTTTTTCAAGCAGATAGAAAGCAAATGAGGTTGTTCAACAGAATTAAGGCCGATATTGCCATGGTTTCGTCCGTCAGCAATAATTATTTTTTGATTATCCCGTACATGCATAGTTAGAATAAAAATGAATAAATTTGTTTTGATAATAAATTATTTCTTTAAAAAATAGACCCTTAGTCCAGTTAAAGTTTTATTTTCTCAACGTTTCAACAAAAATATGTGTCTTCGTTAATAGAAATAAATAAAAAATAAAGCATTTGGCAAGGCATTAAAAATTGTTCTCTAAACGCCTTGCTAAATGCTAATTTTTATTTATTTCTCCTGACGAAGACAAAATATTTTTGTTGAAACGTTGAGAAAATAAAACTTTAACTGACCGAAGTGTCTAATTTTTAAAGAAATATAAAACCGGTCAGTCAACCTCTATCTTTAAGATAATAAATTATTGAGTAATCCAGAGTATGAAGTTGTATCACGTGAGATTTCAATAAAGAATGGCTAAAGTGGTTGAAAAAGAAGAGATTTTAAAGCTCAACTCAGGATGTCACTGATCAAAATAGAATCTCCCAGAAGGATATAATTGTTAAAGACCGTAACGACGTCCTTGGCCTTTTAAAGACCCGCCATCTTGAGAGACGCTGTTTTGTTTTGAGACTCCATGTGAAGTAAGCTAAAACATTCATCTGGGGTGCACCTTTCTCCCTTTTTATTCTTATTTTTGTCTTCATTTACACTCTGAAAGAACGAAATATAAAATAAACTAAATATAAATAGGTAATTACGAACTGCGAAGTATTGCATTAAATATATAAACATATTTATTATAAATAGTACAAGAATGAATTTCAAAATATAAACATTCAAAAGGAAAAACAGGGTAACGTGGTAAGATTCTTTAATAGAACATGACGAGCTTTCAGGCAGCAACTGCCCTTCTTCAGGTCTTATACAAGTGTAGACAGAGAAGTGCCATATTTATAAGCAAAAATATTTACATATATACGCGCAAGGAAATAAGGAATTTTACATACTGAAGATTGGAAAGGGAATTTGCATAGTTACAAATAAAACGAACTCTGTGTGAGAAATAGAGGCAAAAAACGGAGATAAAAATTAGACATAAAGGCATAACATGTAGATAAAAATTGAAACCAAAAATAAAAATAAAACCCAGAAACATATCAGCGAGTGAGGCCGTAAAGTATTGTATATTGCGGTGGGAGATCAATCTTCCGGTTAAAACTGGGAGTACAGTTCGATACCAGTGCTTCCAGAACCAAGCGTTGGTACTTGTTTCCAATATCTCTGTATACAGAAATCGTATCATCTAAATTGAAAGAATGGTCAAAATCTGCGATGTGTTGAAAAATGAGAGATTTTCTATCTTTGGAACGTATATTACGATTATGTTCGCGGATTCTAGTAGCGATGGTTCGACCAGTTTCACCAATGTAGCATTGTTCACAATCGTTGCATGATATTTTATAGATGACGTTATTGAGGGATAGAGGGTTAAGTTTGATGGACCTTTTTGTTATAGGGTGCCGTAAGGATGCTTCTAGGGAAGGCGAATTCTTGAAAAACGTGCAAATACCGAATTTTCGTAAAAATAACGCAATATCGGAGTTCGTGGTCGAAAAAGGAAGGACATAGACGTTTTTATACAGAGGAGGTGCAACTTTTTTGTGGTTCGGGACGTAAAAATGGCGATCAATAAAATTATGAGGGTAACCGGCGGATAAAAGATGGGTGTAAACGGTACGTTTCTCGATCATTCTAAATAAGGCAAGGGAGCAATGAGTGTATACCCGTTTGGAGAGAGTTTTTACCGTGGTGATTTTGTGAGAAACCGGGGCATGCGATAAAAAGTGTAAATAGGAGGGAGTGAAGTTAGGCTTGCGAAATACGGTGGTCTGAAAAGTGCCATTAGTGTTAATGACTAAAACATCTAAAAACGGGATGCAATCAAAACAGGATGGGTTGTGAGTAAAACGGAGATCATGATGGTATGAGTTTAAAACTGTGAGTATAGGGAGATGGTCGGTATCACGATGGAGGCAAAAAATATCGTCAACGTACCTCGACCACATCTCGATCCCCAAATGATTATGGGAAACTAACCACCGGTCCAAATTGGACATAACTATCTCAGCTGCTATTGTGGAAAGAGGGCTGCCCATAGGGGAGCCTCTCATCTGTACAAAGAAACGGCCATTGAATTCTAAAGTATTTTCATGTCAAGGCAGATGGTGAATAGATCCAAGATAGTTTTTTGATTATTACTAGGAAGAGTGGAAGAAGAAAGAAGTTGCTCTAGGCCATCTATGATCAGAGAATGCGGAAGGCACAGAAAGAGTGATGTCACGTCAAAAGTTGACATGGTAAGACCACGAGGTTGGGGGACACTCTTTAATCTTGTAAAAAAGTCAGATGGATCCTGGACCGAGTAAAGATTATGAGGTTTGACCAGGGGTTTTAGAAGGCTAGAAAGGTATTTGGCTAGCTGTAAGGCGGGGTGACAGGTGGTAGGCAACAATGGGTCTAAGGGGGACACTGGGCTTATGGGTTTTAGGTAGGCCATATATATATGGAACACTAGAAAGATTGGAGGTAAACTGCTGGAACCGATCAGGAGTAATGCATTCGTTTCTTCTGAGCAATCTGAGTGATGATTTGTAGGCATCAGTCAAGAAATTGGAGAACTTGTGAGGAACTGCCCAAATTGTATTGAAGAAAGATCTAATCCCCAGCAGCCATTAATTGTTTCTGATTCCCCAAGCAGGCCATGGGAGAAAGTGGGAATCGACCATTTTTACTTAAAGGGCAAATACTATCTTCTAATTGCGGACTATTACTCTAGATTCCCAGAGTTGGCATTGCTGGAGGATCAAACAACACATTCAACAATTCTACATTGCAAGTCAATTTTTGCTCGCCATGGAATACCCGAAGAGGTTAGATCAGATAACGGACCACAGTTTGGGTTAGAATTCAAAAAGTTTGCAAAAGAATACGGTTTCCACCACATAACATCTAGTCCCAGATTTCCTCAAAGCAATGGCTTCATCGAATCGATGGTGAAGAATATCAAAAACCAATTGAAGAAAGGAAGAGATCCATATCTTTCTCTTCTTGGTTATCGAACCGCTCCATTGGAAAATGGGTACAGCCCTGCTGAACTATGCATGAACAGGAAACTCAGAACAACTGTGCCGATATCACCAGTTCAACTCCAGTCAAGAATACCTGATCTTGAAATTCTAGAAATGAGAGAAAAAAATCAACGGCACAAAAAGAAAACCCATTTTGATATACATCATCGTGCAAGAGAATTGCCCCATCTGGATGAAGGAACTAGAGTATGGGTGAAAGACTTGAGAGTTCCCGGTGTGGTACTTGAAGACGCTGGAAGTCCAAGATCTTATATAGTCAACTCTCCAAAAGGAATTTTAAGAAGAAATAGATTCCACCTACTACCAAACCCACAGGGTGAAAAGATTGACATGGAAGATGAAGAGATGGAGTCTCCTGAGATGAGTCAGTGCTTCACATCTACTGGGGACAACACTACTTGTGACAGTGAACCGAGGACATTCCAGAGATCACCGGAACCAGTAAAGACCAGGAGTGGACGCGTGATAAAGCCGCCAGACAGGCTAAACCTCTAGAAGAAAAGGGGGAGATGTGTTGAGAGTAAGTTACGATCATCATCACATTAACTGTTTTGTTTACCTTAGGCTGGTGAAAGTTCCGCCATAGCTGTGATTGTTCTAAGTTTAATAAATACCTTGTAAATAGTTAAATAAATAAGATTAAAGAGATCATCCTTAAGGTAAGAGTATCTTCTTATTTATTACAAGGCAATACACCATACAAAACCGTGAGGAGGGTTCACCACAGAGGAGCGAAGCCCTTCCAATATTTTTTCATCGCAGTAAGGACATTTGCGTCATTGTTTTCATTTGTTATATATAGATGGCGCGTTACTGCTTTGTATTAATCACCATATACAGTTAAACCTGTCTATAGTGCTCCCTCTAAATAGCGCCTCCCTCTCTATAGCGCCCGATTTTAAATACGTAGTACGATGCGATTTACATTAAAAGTGACCTGTCTATAGCACCCCCTCTCTTTAGCACCCTATTTTGGTGAGTCCCAATAGGGGGCGCTGTATTTTATCATTTGAGGTTTTGTATCAATTTGCTCACTCACGATGATAATGCAATTATTTCTAACTATTTTATTTGAGTCGTTTTAAAGAAGGGTAGCCCGTTGTGATTGGAGAGAAATGTGTATAAATACTTTATGTATATCTGAGCTCTCTTGTAATGAAATCGAAGTTAATTTCAAATCGTAACTGTAATTTAGCCAATTCATATTTTATAAACGAACTATATATATTGTGTGTGAAAAAATGCATGAATTAATATGCTATATAGTCGAATTTTTATTTTGTGTTAGATTTTTTCGCAATTTGTAGTAAACATGGTTCTAATTTACATACCTTTGTTTTCATTTAAAATAGACATGTGCATATCTTTCTCTCCGTCTATAAAAAATATTTATTTAATATCCAGAGCGCGATCATTTTATAGGTGTTAGGTTTTGAAAATTAAAATGCTTTATCAATTCATATAACTTCAAAATAGTATATTTATAGATGTGAATTTTTAAAAAATATTTTAAAATAAAGTACCATGGTCACAACAATTGAAATAGTTTTTTATAAAATTTATTTTAAATCTTTATTTTAATATCTATATATATTTGATATCGTTACTCACATTTCTGTAAAAATAGGGAAAGATGATTTATGTTATTTACGAAGAAAATTGCCATAAGATCAAAATTCAAAATTTGCGGCAGTGAAGGTATCTTTAAAAAATCTCATATTTCTTCAATTTGGAAAAATATATTTTACTAAAATAACGCCATTTACTAAATTCAAACAAGCCGAGTTCAAATTATGTGAAATTCATAAGCTACGAGTA